CCCACAGTTGGCTCCGGGCAATCAAAATATGGTACAGGAATTGTGTTCCGGGAACACGAAGAACACGAAGTGGCTTACAGTTGGCTCCAGGCATTCAAAATGTGGCCTGGGAGTGGTGCTCTGGGAACACGAAGAACACAAAGTGGCCTACAGTTGGCTCTGGGCATTCGAAATGTGGCCTGGGAATTGTGTTCTGGGAAAACGAAGAACACGAAGTGGCCGACAGTTGGCTCCGGGCATTCAAACTGTGGCCTGGGAATGGTGTTCTGGGAACACGAAGAACACGAAGTGGCCTACAGTTGGTTCCGGGCATTCAAATGTGGCCTGGGAATGGTGTTCCGGGAACACGAAGAACACGAAGTGGCCTACACTTGGCTCCGGGCATTCAAAATGTGGCCTGGGAATGGTGTTCTGGGAACGGATTCCGAAGAATTCCTAAGGATTCCTAAGGATTCTTGGGGCTGAGGGATCCGTCCGGTTCCTTGTCTGGTTCCCGCCCAGACCCCCTTGGGGCGTCAAGATGCTTTTTTTTGACACCACTAGAAACCTATCAGCAAAAGCTGTTAGGTAAATAAGCACACACACACACACACACACCAACAACAACAAAAAATAGTCTGGGGACGACTTTTTATTTTGTTTTGCCATTTTCGATTGTTTTGCATATGTTTTATCTGTCATCGAAAATCGGCCTGGAGGGGGACATGCCCGACCTAACGGTGGGCCCCTTGGCGGGAGCCCGGCGGGAGCAGAGGGGGGCGAGACGTCAGCACGTGTTTGGATTCGGGGTTCCAAAGGGGGCCACGTGAAGTTCCCGCCCAGGCGCACAGGGCCCTCGTTCTCCCACCGCGCGGGCGGTCAGAAGCGAATCCAGCTCCCTCGGTGGGTGCCCTACCGACCTCCCCCCCCCCCAGACATCCGACGCCGTAATTTCGCTCGCAGTGTGGACCCCCAGATGTCTGGACCCCTTCCCCCGGGCCGGCTTTTCATCCCAGGCCCTTTCTTGACAGTCCCAGGGCCCAGCGAGAACCCCTGGAGGCCGAAAACGCATGAAAATGTCTCATTTGCGAAAAGCGGGTCCGCCCTCCCTTGAGATCCGACGTTGGGAAAAAAATGCGACGGCGCCAAAAATCACGGCCAGAACCCGAAACCCAATCTGTTTGCGGCCTTTTTCGAGCCGGGTCGATATGTCATGCTCCCGGGGCCCGAAACCAGGCGAAACAATCCAGTGAGACAAAATTCCAGACGCTTCGCGTAACCCCACCAGTTGACTCGCCCTCTGGACTTCTCCTTGCGGGCCGCCGATCAAAAAGTAACCCCACCAGCCCCCTACGTTGTCACAGTGGTGTTCGTTTCATCGGTAAGTCTTCGCTACGCATTCGTCTCCGTCCTTCCCATGCTGTCGGGGCACTTCCTGTGCTTAGCCACGTTCGTGTTCAAGGTCTTCGTGTTCGGCACGCGCCCTGCTGCTGACCGCCTGGTCGGTTTCGCGGCTTCTGGCGCGCCGTCGCTTTCATTCACTTCTCTACCGGCGCGGCCCGCCGTAGCAGGCTCGGCGTTCGACCCGTTTCGCCCGCCCGCGGACCAAAAAAAAAAAGAACATCCAGAGACGATGCCCAGAGGAGTTGCCTCGATCAGGGAAGTGGGCAGCAGACAGGAAGGGTCCCTCTTGGAGCGCTCTTGGGACACTCTTGGGCGCTCTTGGGGCCGTATTGGGGCTCTCTTGGGCCACTTTTGCGTCTCGGGGGCATCTGGGCGGTCCCGGGGGCCTCTTGGAGCGTCTCGGGTGCCTCGGGGAGCCCCTTCGGGCCACTTGAGGGTCTTTTGGGAGCCTCTTGGAGGCCTCTTGGGCGCCTCTTGGGGCTTCCTAGGTGCCTTTTAGGACCCTTTCGAGGCGCTCTCAGGAGCCTTGCGAGCGCTTTGGGGGCCATATTGGGGGACGTCAATCAAACAAGAAGGGAGCTTTAATTAGCGCTGCCCCTCGGGAGCTTCAAAAGTCGCCTCTTGGGGCGCTCGGGGGGCGCTATTGGAGCGCTCTTGGGATTGTCTCGGGGCTTTATTGGGCCTCTCTGGCAAACCTCTCGGGCCACTTTGAGGCCTCGGATGGCCATCGGAGGAGAAAACGCGAGAAAGCAACCATCACTGATTGCCCTTAGGTTTTGGAAAGATTCTGGCTTTTTGGAGGCCTCCCTGGAGGTCTCGGAGGCGTCTTGGAGCCGTTTTGGAGCGTTGTTGGGCCTCTTGGAGCATCTTGGGAGCCGACTTGAGGCATCTCGGGCTATCTGGGGCCATTTTGGGGAGCATCTTGGGCTTTCTGAGGCCCTCTTGGAGCCATCTTGGGCGAAAAACTACCCTCTGGCACCTCGCAGGGCGCCCCGTCCAGGTCCAGGGGAAGGGGGTAGGGGGGAGGAGTCAAGACACCCTCCTAGATAGCAAGCCTTCTATCTCATTCCCTTCGCCCTCCCGACACAGATGTAACACCCGAGCCTCTACATGTTCTGCAGTCGTTTGAAGATGGACAGCTACTCGGAGCCAAACCGAGCCCATGTGCGCGACGCTGGGGCGAAGTGCGCCACGCGTGCCAGGCGCGCCACGCGCGCCAGGCACCCCTGAGGCCCGAGCGTGCCAGGCACGTTTGGTGCGCTAGATGCGCCACGTGCCTCCGCGTGCGCCAGGTGTGCCGCATACTCCAGCACCGCCAGGTGCGCCACGTTCGGGGCACGTACAGAGTGTGTCGGGTGCGCCTGCGCACAAGACAGCACACATCGGGAAACATGTCTGCCCTCACCATCCATGTCGAAGACCAGTGCCCATCATTGTACCTGGTGGGCCTGCGCACAGCAGGCCATACGCCACCACTTGACAGTGATCGCGGGGTGGCTGCGCATGATCCAGACTTAGTCGCGTGGTGCATTGTGTATTGTTTTTTGTCAGGGATGGTAGCCCTGCGCCTAGCAGGCAATATGCTGACACCCCCGCCGTCCCTGTCATAAAACAATACCAGGTGTTCGTGGGCTTCGCGAACATGACTCTGGACTTTGCTCCGGAGTGTACTCTGTATTGTTCTTTTGACAGGGATATAGGGGCCCCCCATGGGATTATCATTGTTCCTGGTTGGTTGTTGGTCGCTGGGGGAGGGGGTGTATATTAATAGGGGACAGACAGTGACAAACCCTTCCCCGAAGGGAAAGAATGGGATTCAAAGAGGAAGCTCCCTAGACCAACTACGCCCAGAGGGTTGGGGAGGCCGCGCAATGGGCGGGCGGTAAATGAAAGGGGGCAGCGAGCGCTGCCGAAAAGGAGCCCCCTAAGGCCCCTGAGGGAATCCTTTCGGACCCAGAAAGTGGTCCTCAGGGTTCGAAAAGGGTGCCTTTGTGAAGGGGCCATGGGACACACAAATAAGTAGACACGAATAACCGGATCCCCCATATTTTGTCCATATTTTCTCGGTTTTTGTCTTCCCCCCCGCTTCCCATATGTTCCCATATTCTCGGGGGAATCGACGATTACTTGTGTCTGTGTGCTTTTATCCCTCCTGACTTTCCACACACACACACCCAGTGATCGCCCCCAATAATGCCTGCCCGACGCCCAGATCTCACGGTCCTCGGGGGGTGTCCGTGCTTGCCTCCTCCAGGCGGCCGGGGCCAGCCCGCTGGAGGGCGTGCGCGCGGCGGCGGCGGCGCGGGCGGCGCGAGCGGCGCGGGGCGCGGGCAGAAGCCCTCCGACGACCCAGCCTTCGTGAGGTGGTCCCTGGGCAGCGGCGGCGCGCGGAAAAGAGTGGCTCGGGGCATTGGCATCGCTCGGGCGTGCGCCTGTTTCCCTCGGCGTCGAGTCGGGCCTGTCCCTCTACAGGGGGAATGTTCAAAGATGATCACAAGATGGTCTGGGGACGATTTCTTTAAGATTATCGTTTGACCAGTTTGGGGGGTGCCATTGATGCGTATGCTGAATGTGCCGCCCAAAGTCCGCCTGCAAGAGGACAGGCCTGGCGAGGACCCTCGAGGAGCATCCTGGCTCCTCCCGCGAGGAGTGCACGCACGGGGTCGACTCGTCAGGTGCACGGGGGAGGGGGCGCCCGAGCGGTGGCGAGGGGCGCGACGGGGCCCCGCGGCTCGAGGCTCCGAGTCGTCGCGGCCGCTCCCGGCGGCTCCTCGGCGGCCTCCCGGCCTCGGGCCGCCCTCTCACGGCGGCGGCGCCTCGGCGAGGGGCGTCCGGGGGCGCCGGGGGCCTCCCCGAGCGGCCGCCAGGGGCCCGAGCATCAGAGGGCCCCAGAAGCCAAGGTCGGGGGGGGGTCCCAAGAACAGAGAGTCCTAGGGATGGGGGTGTCGGGCGAGGTGGGGGGCATGAAGGGGGCATGGAGGGGGGCGTAGGTCGTTTTTGGGCGAGAAATGGTGGGGTGGGGGGTCCCAAGAACAGAGAGTCCTAGGGATGGGGGGGGGGGGGGCCGGGCACAGGGGTGGAACGCATCGACTCCCAGTCGCCAACCTCCTCGCCGACAGATGGGGGCCGAGAGCCCCAGCCCGCCCAGGGCCGTGCGGGCTCGCCACCTGGGGGGGCACGTCGCCGAGCTGTCGGCGGCGCCTCGCCGATTCCAAGGCGACGTCTCCCCCCCGAGCCAGTCCCATCCTGACGTCCCACCTCATCTGCGCCACCGGCACGGGTACCCTGTAACGGGCACCCTGGCAGCGCGCAGGACGGTGCAGGAAAATGGCAGGAGAGCACCGTTTTCGCGAGTCGTGGTGCAGGGAAGTGGCCAAAGCCCCCATGTGCCGAGTCCCATCTGGATGACCCTCCGAGCCTTGTGAGAAGGCTTCTTAGAAGCTTGCGAGCCCTTCTAAGAGGCCCCATGCCGTCTCAGAAGGCCGCCCCCCCCTAAGACCCCAAATCTGCTCACAACTGCCCGGGCACATCCCGTGTTCCGTCCTTGCGTGTTTTCTGAGCCGCGTTCCAGTCGCGGCGACGAGCACACGCAGAAGCGCCCACAACTCCCCGCGCGCCTCCCCCCTTCCTCGCGCCGCCGAATGACGCTCGACGGCTCCGAGACGGGGCTGAGGTACACCGTGGAGGCGTACGTCGGGAGCGGGACGTTCAGCAGGGTCTTCCGCGTCCGGGGGGCGGCCGCCAGCCGCGGCCACCCGGCGGGGCAGGGGGGCAGAGGGAGCGCCGGCTCAGAGACAGCGGAGGACCGCGTCTACGCCGCAAAGGTGATGCGGAAGAGCGACGCCTACATCCGGGGGCGCCCAAGGGGGGTGAGGACTCGGAGAGAGGAGGAGGAGGAGGTGGAAGAGGGGGAGGAGGAGGAGGAGGAGGAGGAGGGGAGGAGGGGGAGGAGGAGGAGGAGGAGGAGGAGGAGGAGGAGGAGGAGGAGGAGGAGGAGGTGGAGGAGGAGGAGGACGGAGGAGGAGGAGGAGGAAGAGGAGGTGGAGGAGGAGAGGAGGAGGCGGAGGGGAGGAGGATGAGGAGGAGGAGGAGAAGCAGGAGGAGGATGGGAGGAGGATGAGGAGGAGGGGAGTGCGGAGAGGAGGAGCAGGATGAGGAGGAGGAGGAGGAGGAGGAGGAGGAAGGAGGAGGAGGAGGAGGAGGAGGAGGGGAGGAGGAGGAAGGGAGGAGGCGGAGGAGGAGGAGGAGGAGGAGGAGGAGGAGGAGGAGGAGGGGGGGGCAGGGGCCAGTGTCCATGGCCGGGGCCATGAGATCTCCCAGATGCCGTGGCCCCAGCACGTCCCCGGGCCCCGCCCCCTTGTCAGCGCGCATGATGCGTCGGTCCACGATGCGGTGCCCCCCTGCATGGGCCCGCCCCTCTTCGGCGCACCTGATGCGTCCAGTACACCTCTGACGGGCCAAGGGAGGGGCAGATCTTGCAGAAGCTGGAGCGGGTCCAGCGGGATCGGGGCCAGGACGTGTTCACCATGAGGTGCTTCGATTCGTTCGCCACCAGAGACGACGCCGGCGAGGAGTACTGGTGCCTCATCCTCGAGTGGCTGGACGCCTCGCTCTACGACGTCGTGAGGGCCAACGGCAACCGGGGCCTGCACCTGGCCATGGTCCGTGTGATGCTGTCGCAGCTCCTGGAGCAGCTCTCCGTCCTGCAGGAGTTCGACTGCACCCACACGGACATCAAGCACAAGAATTGCTGCCTCGCAGACACCCGGCACTTCCTGCTGCCCGCCAGCGACAGGGGCAGGTCGGGCAGCGCCAAGGATCGCAGGCCTAGAGGTTGACACCAACACCAATATCGGCGGTGTGCCTCCACCGAGGGAAGAAGATCCCGATCTAGGTGATGGTGGTGATATTCTGGCCTCCAAGGTGGCTGAAAGATTGCCACCAACACCGAAATCTAAGATCATCTTTCCCATGTGGAGGCAACCCCCTGTGTTGGTGTTGGTGCCCATTTCCAGGCCTCCGAAAGGAGTGTCACTGCTAGGGGGGCCCCCAGCTCCTCTTGGAAAGCGGGGTTCCAGGATCGAAGTTCGAGGAGGTGTTTCGACGTCGGGGCTCGCCTCGGAGGGCTCTGAGGTGCTCGTGGGGGGCCCACCTCCTCGACGGCATAGCGCTTCCTCAGGGAAGTGTCAAGTCGGGCATGTCCCTCTACAGGAGGAGTATTCAAAAATAGTCCAAAAGAAAGGTCTGGGGACGATGTATTCGTATTTTTGCTTACTTCTTAAACATGTTGTGAGTATCTTGTATCTGTCGTCCAAAAGCCGCCTGTGGGGGGACATGCCCGACCTAAGGGAAGTGGCAACGCCCTCGTGGTGACCCCCCTTTAGCATTGCCCCAGCAGGGGCACCATGATCTTGGCGAGGCCGCACGCCAAGCTCATCGACTACGGCAACGCGGTCTTCGAGGGCGACAGGAAGGCGCACCCCATCCACACGAAGCAGTTCCGCGCGCCCGAGGTCCTGCTCAACGCGGCCCAGGGCTGGGGCCCCCCCAGCGACGTGTGGACCCTGGGCGTCACCGCGGCCTTCCTGCTGTCAGGGCGGCTCCTCTTCAACTCGCACGAGCCCGGCGAGCTCGTGCGCGCGATGGCCGATGCTCTCGGGCCGTTTCCCGCCGCCCTCTTGGCGGGCGCCCGCGACGGGCGCGCGCGCCGAGCCGCGGAGCAGGCCCGCGCTGCGCCGGCGACCGCGGCGGCGACAGCGGTGACAGCAGCGACGACGACGACGACGACGACGACGACGACGACGACGACGACGACGACGACGACGACGACGACGACGACTGCGGCTACGGTTACGGCGGCTGCAGCGGTGGCGACAGCGGCGGCGACGCCGCCGACGGCTGCGCCACCGACCGAGCAGGCCAGCGCGGCAGCGCGGGACCCTCCACGGCTGGCGGAGCAGCTGGGGCTGGGCGGCTTCGGCGAGGGCACCCCGGAGGCCGCGTGCGCCGACCTGGTGCGGCGGATGCTGTCGCTGGACCCCGCGGAGCGCATCGACGCGAAAGCCGCGCTGCGGCACCCGTTCCTCGCCGCCGGGCTCCCCGCGCTGCCGCAGCGGCCGCGCGGCGCGGAGCTCCGGGCGCTGAGGCCCTCTGCGCCGCCCGCCGCGTCCGCTTCCGCACCCGCCGCCCCGGAGCCCGCGGCCCCGCTCACGGCGGCGGCGGGCGAGGGCGCGGCGCGCGGGGAGGTCTCGCCGAGGCGGAGCAGGCTGACGCGGCCCGGCCAGTCGCCCGCCCCAGCGGAAAAAGATGCGCTCTCGGCCACGGGACCCCGCGTGCTGCACCACTCGTCTGGCGCGTTCCCTCGCGAGTGCCTGTGGGTGGGCGGGTCTGGACGTGAGGTGTAGCCCGCACCCTGCCCTTCGAGCAGGGGATCGACCACAGACTGGATTTGCCCCAGAACTGATTTTTCTTGTCGAATCCACGGGCAGTTCGTAGAACTTTCGCAGATCTACGAGTGGTTGACGTGTTGTTGTTGAAGAGTCGACGCGAAAACCAATTCTGGGGTAAATCAATTCTGTAGTCGATCGGGCGGGACGGCGCCCTCCAGGAGGCAATCTTGAACCTGGCGGTCACGTTCCTCAGCTCGGTCCAGCCACGCTACACTTAAGTCGGGCCTGTCCCTCTACAGGGGGAATGTTAAAAAATAGTCAAAAAATAATATGGTGACTATTGTTTGACCATTTTTTGATATTTTTAGTGCATTTTCGGGGTATGCTTTTTTTTCGTTCAAAATCGGCCTGTAGGGGGACAGGCCCGACTTAGCGCTGCATCGACGTGTCCACCAGGTGCCCCCATTGCCAGACGGTGCGCAAAGAGAGGCCAGGCGAGGCAGCGACGGCGGCAGCGGCCGACGAGCACGCCCGGTACGGCAGCGCGGTCCTCCCAATCGCCGTGGAGGCCCGTGGCTTCATTGGTTCAAGTCGGGCCTGTCCCTCTACAGTCGGAATATTCAAAAATAGTCCAAAAATAGTCTGGGGACTATTTTTTACCACTTTGGGGCATTTTCAGGGCACTGTTGGTGTATTTTTTATTGGGTGCATTTTCAGGCCCGACTTAAGCATGGGTGCCGAGAGCATCTGGTCCTTGGAGCACCTGGCGTCTCAGGCTGGCGCTTGCGTCTGGGACTCCTGGGCCGCGCAGCGCCTGCTGCCCAGCCGAAATGGCGCACGGCCCAGGAGGCACCGACTCGTGCACTCCTCTGAAGCAGGCGTCGACCTGCCGTGTCTGGTGTGCGCCCTGAGCGCCACGGAGGCGCAGTTGGCGTGGGGGCCTCCTCCTCCTCCTCCTCCTCCTCCTCCTCCTCCTCCTCCTCCTCCTCCTCCTCCTCCTCCTACTGGGCGCGGACCGTTCATAATACGGCTTCACTTCTTGACGAAGACAGCAGGATGTTGTGCAAGTGGCTGCAGTCGTGTCCCGCAGGAGCAAGAGCAGGAGCACTTGGCAGGAGGAGGATGAAGATCAGGAGGGGAAGAAGCACACAGACACAATGAATCGTCGACTCCCAGGAAGGTATGGGAAAATATGGGAAGTGTAGGGGGAAGACGAAAACCCTGAAAGTATGGGAAAAGATGGGGAATCCTGCGATTTGTGCCTATTTGTCTGTGTGTCCCTGGGCCCCTTCAGAAGAGGTGCGCTGCTCGAGGATCGAAGCTGTGGAACGTGGTTCGATTGGTGTTTTTCCTGCAGGAGGGGGAGGAGGAGGAGGAGGAGGAGGAGGAGGAGGAGGAGGAGGAGGAGGAGGAGGAGGAGGAGGAGGAGGAGGGGGAGGGGGAGGAGGAGGAGGAGGCGGAGGAGGAGGAGGAGGAGGAGGAGGAGGAGGCTGAGGAGGAGGAGGAGCAGGGGGGGCGTGTCTGTGTGGGGTCCCATACGAGGCTTCAAAGGCCCGCGGGCGGCCGGCGGGCGCGCTCCACAACCTTCAGCAGGGGAAAAAACAGACACAGACACAATTAATCGTCGACTCTCCCCCAGGGAAATATGGGAAAAATATTGGAAGGAAGGGGGGAAGGCGAAAACCCAGAAAATATGTAAAATTGTAGGGAATCCTGGTAGTTGTGTCTAGTTATTGTGTGTCCCAGGGCCCCCTCAAATCTGTGGCCCGTGCATTTTGAGAGCGGTGCTGATGAGCACTGGCGCTGGCACAGCAGAAAAGCTGCCCGGAGCTTTAGAATCTGCATTGTAAAATCCTTCATCTCTGCACTGTGGCTGGTTCTCGCCGCGCGCTCATTCCCCTCAACTGTCCTCCTTCTCCTCCCAAAATAGCGCCTGGGATGAAAAAAACAAATTGCATTGGAAAATGAGTTCGGTATCGACATGTTTCGGGAGCCGATGGTTTTGAAGGATTGCGCCTTGCGCGCGCGAGCGCGCGCATGTTGCCCCAACAACATGTGCATACATGTGCTACAACTTGTTCGTGGCATCGATTAAACCATGTCCACCGCATCGTATTGTTTACCAGGGGTCACGCCCAAGCCGGATACGGGTTGCGCACCAAATAGTGTTGTTGCTTTTCATCGGTGGGGTGGACGTGGGGTCCACAAAACATGCGAAAGCACGCAGGAACAAGCTGGAGCCGGATCGGGCCAGTCTGGCTCACGATGCACAGTAGATATTTTGAAGTCTAGTTTCTAGTGTTCCCTTCAGTGTTCCAGAGAGGTGGGCTTTCTGCTGCCAAGGGAGTAGCGACTCTCCAAAGGCATCCGTGGAAGGAGGATGAAGGAGAAGGGAGCAAGGAGGAAAGAGAAGGAGAAGGAGGAAGGGAGCAAGGATGAAGGAGCAGGAATGAAGGAGAACGAGGTATTCATGAGGAGTAACACGACGAGGAGGAGAAGGAGAAGAACAATGAGGAGCAGGACGACGACGACGAGGACGAAGGCGAGACGAGGGAGAAAGAGCAAGAGAGATGAGGGAGAGAGAAAGGACGGAGGAAACATGGGAGGAAACAGGGGAGGACGAGGGACCAGTGACGGGAAAGGGAAGGAGGGGGGAGGAGGAACGATGGAGGAGGAGGAGGAGGAGGAGAAGGACCAGTGCAAATCCAAGACCCGTCAGAGATGTTGGAATCAAATACTCCCTCCAAGCTCCCGTTTCATAGGCCCCTACAAGGGATCATTTCCACAGGGAGCTGCCTCGTTGGGAGACAGTCGTTCGAACCAAAACACCATTCTCGGAACTCCAACGCTTCGGATAAATTTGACTGGTGCGTACTCACGATCCAGATTTGCACCAGAGCACCATTCCTGGGACTTCAACACCGCAAATCCACGCAACTGTTGCACGGTCACAATCCTGAATCCTTCCCAGATACCATGTCTGGTACTTTGACCATGGGAAGCCGTGAAATTATTGCTCACCTGTTTGAAGCCAATGCGCGCGGCGCTAAGGCCAGAGCCACATTTTGAAAACCAACCGCCCTCAATCCGTGAAACGATTGCACATGTTTACGACGAGTGCGCGCGGTGCTTCGGCGAGAGCCACTTGTTGAAAACCAACCTCCCTCAGTCCGTGAAACTCTTGCGAATGTTTCAAACGAATGCGCGCGGCGCTAAGGCGAGAGCCACATTTTTGAAACCAACCACCCTCAATCCATGAAACTCTTGCACATGTTTCAAACGAATGCGCGCGGCGCTAAGGCGAGAGCCACAGTTGGAAGCGTCTCGCCCTCAACCCGCGAAACTCTTGCCAGTTTTCTCAAACGAATGAACGCGGCGCTAAGGCGAGAGCCACATTTTAGAAGCGACACGCCCTCCATCTGTGAAGCGGTTGCCACTGTTTTAGCTTCCATATGTGAAGCGGTTGCCATTGTTTTAGCTTCAAGGTCATAAACGGTGGGGAAGTCTCAGGCGAAACACCCGGCCCGCCTTTCTTCACCTGCCTCGGGGTGCGACAGGGAGGAGTTATTTGCAAGCAACAGGAATTGAGCAAGGTGAGTGAGGGGAAAGCATGGGGCGGAGGGAGAAGGGAGGCGAGGGGGGATTTCCAAAGGGGCTGGGCAGGGGCGGGAAGGGGGGGGCGGCGGGACGAAGGGAGGCCCTACCACACACGCGACCGCGCCCAAGTCCCCGACCGGAGGCAGCTCGCCTGGCTCATCATCGCCCGCCTCCCCCTCGACAGCTGTGCGCGCGCCGACGTCCCTGAGGGTTGTCCAGCGCCGCGGGCGGGATTTGGACCTGCAGAGCGGGAGCGACCCGGAGCCCGAGGGGCTCATCTCGCTGGAGGACAGAACCAAAAAGTCCAGCTTGAGCACAAACCTTCAGAGGTGTGCAATTCCTGGGTATGCCAACCCGTCGGCTGTCCGTCCTCCTCCTCCTCCTCCTCCTCCTCCTCCTCCTCCTCCTCCTCTGCCCCCGTAGCCATTTTGGCTCAAGTCCGTAGCGTGGCTCAGTGGCCACCAGCGGGCGAGAGTTGAGGCAGAGGGGACCAGCGGCCCCTACCGACATACCACCCAAGGTTTCGCTACTGCATTGGGGTGTTATCCCCCGCTGTACGAAGACACGACTACTTCGTTTTCGCTCTCTGTTACTTCAGGCACATGGGAAAAGGCGTTTTCTCTTGGTGCACGGCCTGCGGCAATTGGGCCTACAATTTCAGAATCAGGAGGAATGGCGGCAAGTGCGGGAAGTGCCAGGCCCACATCTCTCTTCCCGCGCCGTGGTGGGAGCAGCCAGGCCAGCAGCAGGGCCAGCAGCACCACCACCAGCCATCCTCTCCTTCGACGGCTACGCCAGACCCGTCGGCGATGCTGGCCTTGCTCGCCAGCTTGCCGATGTTCGCGGGTGAGGCCAAGACGCTCCTCGCCGCCAAGGAGCGTTGCGACGCGGCAGCCGTGCCGACGCCGCCCACGGCCCACACCTCCTACACCGCCACCGCCAAGGAGCTTGAGAAGAAGGACGCAGCGCTCAAGTCGGCGGCCGAGGCGGTTGTGGCAGCGGAGGCCACCCTGGCACGTGCCCAGCAGAGGGCCGAGGAAGCCACGGTGGCCCAGATCGTCGCGCAGCAGGCCCATGACAAAGCGGTCGCTGCTGTCGCGGCCAAGGCAAACATCAAGCAGGTCCCCGACGGGTACACTGCAGACGGCAAGCGCGTGGTCTTCGCCGTGGACGACGCGCTCTTCTCCGACCTCAGCGAGTTCGACGAGACGCAGCAGGCCGAGCTCCGCGCGTTCGAGGCGGAGATCAAGCAGAGGATCGACCAGGTGGCGGCGATGCAGGCGGAGGTGCACGCGCAGTACGACAAGGTGCGCGCCCTCCGCAACTCCCCGCCGAAGCGCCAGCGGGTCGACGAGGAGGGAGGCGCCGCCGCGCCCGCGGCAGGCGCTGCCGCAGCGGCTCCCGCAGAGCCGGCGGCAGCCGCAGCCGCCGCCGCCCCTCCTGCCGCCGACCCTGGCGCCGCGGTCTCCGCCCAGGCCAAGGAGGACGGCCTCAAGGCGGCCCTCGCCAAGGCCCGCTCCGACTCTGTGGCCAAGGCGAAGGGCAAGGGCTCGGCCAGTGCTTCGAGCGCTGGCCCTGGCGCTGCTGGTGCTGCTGGCAGCGCCCCTTCTGCCGCTGCTGGGGCCGCTGGCCCTGCCCCAGCCCGCGGGTAGCAGCGCCCCACCGCAGCCAGCGGGCGCTGGCTGCCCACCGCGGACGAGTTCTTCCCCTACATGTTCAACGGCGTCCCTGATGGCGGGGCCCCCCCAAACTCAGAGAGATGACGAGCAAGGTTCCGACTCCAAGCTCTTCTTCGCCAACATCTCCGAGTGGGGCCCCACCGCGAAGGGCTTCATGAGAGGCCAGGCGCCCTCCTACGACCTCGTCGCGTTCTGCGAGACGCACGTCCTGGGAGAGCAGCTGGCCACCGCCAAATCCGATCTTGGCAAGGACGGGTGGAAGGTGACGGCCACCCCTGCAGTATTGACTGGAAGGTCTGATGCTGGCAACACAGGTGGAGAATGGGTAGTCTCGCGCAAGTCAGTCTGCACCACCTCCTTCGAGTCCTGGCGCCAAGCAGAGCTTCAACGCACAGGTAAAGATTGTTTCCGAGGATTCGCTCCTCTCTTGTGGCACACGCGCGTCGGCAACATAGTGGTTGTCTCCTGTTACTTGCTTCCTGGCCACAAGTTCAAGGGCCCGAACGAGCAGATGCTGATCCGCCTTGCCTCGTTCTTGAAGCAGATCAAAGATCCCTGGATCCTGGTTGGCGACTGGAATGCGGTTCCGTCTGATTGGTCCAAGACTGCCTGGATCTCCAAGCTCGGGGGCAACATCTGCGTGCCCATCAACGGCCAGGTCACGTGTAACAAGGGCCGCGGCTCCCTCATCGACTACGCGATCGTGAAGGAGGGCCTCGCCGACAGCATCCGTGTGCATATTGTCCCTGAGGTCCCATGGCGTACGCACGCTGGGATATGCGTCACGCTCAAGGCGGGCAAGAAGGCGTGGTGGCATCGCAGCCTCAGAGCCGCCCAACCTCTGCCGGCACTCCCGAGGCCTGTCCGCGCGGCTGACCCGAACAGCAAGCGGCAGAAGGCCATCGCCCAGGCGAAGCAGCGCCGCCGCCAGGAGCTCGACGACTACCTGCAGGAGGCGTACGCCGACCTCTACGACCACGATGAAGCCCCTCCAGCACCAGCTGCAGGACCTGCGTTCAACATCCCCTTGGAGTGCTGGCAGGCCGCCAAGGACAAGCCGTACGAAGGCACCCCCGCACATCGGCCTCATTTCCTGCTCGATCGGGATCCCGAAGTACGTGACGATGTTGGCCTACGCTACGGGCGATGGGTCCAAGCAGTGGAGGAGGCAACGATAGCACACCACGAGCTTCCAGCAGGTGATGCCAAGAAGTGTCGTGGCAGGGCACAAGGATACGATATTGAATGGAAAATCACGCGAGCCACCCCGTCCAGGCCCCACTTGAGAGATCCGCTACTCGAATGGTGGAACCTGTGCACGTCACTACTCTCGAGATTGGGCATCTTCCGACGGACGGCTCGAGTTCACGACAACGCCTACACGATGACCAAGCTCCTCGAGTTGCTGGACGTTGGCCTGGACAGCGACTTCCAGAAGCCCTTCGGCGACGACGACCAGTTCTGGACCTGGGTTGCGGCGATCCAGCAGATTGGCACTGCCGACGATGAGGAGTTCGACACCATACTCCAGCAGGCGGAGTCCTACAAGAGCAGAGCCATCGGCCTCTCGTTGTCCAAGGCTCGCAAGGGATTCCAGGCCTGGGCCACCAAGATGTGGAAGGAGTCGCCAGGAATTCTACACCGCCACGTGAAAGGGGTACCTGACAAGCCCGACGAGATCATTGCTGACTCCAAGGTCTTCGCCACCCCTGATGAGATGATGGACAAGCGTGCAGATGATTGGAACGAGATATGGAGCGACGACACGATGGTCCCTGCCAAGATCATCGACGGCCTCCAGTACGTCATGGGCAGGGCCGACACCCAGGACCTCGAGCAGCTCACCGCCGAGCGCATGAACAGCGCGCTGGGCTCCATGAATGGCAAGAAGGCCAAGGGGGTCGACGCCATGGGCCCCATCGAGGTGCAGCGGCTGCCTGCTGAGGCCCGCCAGGAGCTGCTCGAGCTGGTGAAGCACATCGAGCGCGTCGCCATGTGGCCGCACCAGCTCTTCATGGTGATCGCCGCCGTCGCCCCCAAGCCGAAGGGGGGCGACAGGATCCTGGGCCTGCTCCCGTTCCTGCCCAAGTTGTGGAGCAAGATGAGAAGTGCTGACTCCCTGGACTGGACGGTGGCCATGGACGAGCATTGGGACACAGCGATCCGTGGCTCGTCTGCCCTGCAGGCTGCCTTGGTCCGATCTCTCCTCGATGAGACCTGCCAGGAGATGAAGATTTCATGTGCTACCTTGCTCCTGGACTTGGAAAAACTTTATGATAGTATTTCGATTGCCAAGATGTGTGCAGCAGGTATTCGCCAAGGTTTTCCTGCTCTCATCCTCGCGCTGGAGTTGCAGCTGTTCCTTGCCCCGCGGCACCTCAAGGACAGGCTCTGGCTGAGCAAGGCGATTCAACCTGAGAAGAGTCTAATGGCAGGCTCGCTGCAGAGTGGACGCTTCGCGAAGGCGTTCATGGGCCCCATGCCGGACAGGGCCCACATCAACTACGGGCTCAGGATCCTACTCCGCACCTTCGTTGACGACACGGTGGTTCGGGCAGAGGGGACAGCGCACGAGGTCGGCTCGCTGATGATCGACTCCTGCACGTCCTTGGCCAGCGACTTCGTGGACGCAGGGCTCAAGATAAGCCCGAAGACGGTGGTCGTTGCTTCGTCCTCGAGCTTGGCAGCCCGAATCACTGCCGGCCTGATCGATGTTGGCATCCCTGTGACACCTGTCCGCCACGCTGTGGACCTCGGTGCTGACACGACCCCGGGCCGATCACGGACCAGAACCAAGGCGAGGGAGCGCTTCATGAAGGCCAAGAAGCGCACCTCCGCCATCATGAGGATGAGGCGCCACGCCAGCCTCCGCGGCATCACCAAGGGCCTCTGGAGCATGGGGTCCAAGCCGCAGGGCACCTACACGCACCAGACGTTCGGGATCCCTGGCTACGAGCTGGTGCAGATCCGCCGCCAGGCCGCCCAGAGTGCCGTCGGCACGGGGCCTGGCCGATGTTTGACCACGTCGCTTGCCGCCGCCTTTGACCGACGAGACCCAGCGAAGGCACTTCGACGTGAGCAGGTCCTGGCATGGCTGCGATTGTGGCGAGAGTACCCAGAATATCACACACGTATTGCGAGATCGTGGGATAGCATCCGTAGCCGCCTACGATTAGCGGGTTCGCGAAGATGGAGAGTTTCGAAGGGCCCCATTGCAGCTACGATTTCAACCTTGCTCGACATTGGTTGGGACCCCGTCAGCCCGATGGTGTGGTCTTCGGATGAGCAGTTCGAGTGGCACATCCCGTCTGTGGCGTCCCCAGAGTTTGACAACTTCCACGGAGACTTCACGGACATCCTTGATGACATTGAGGCCACGATTGACAGACAGTTGTGGCGTGCGGCGGCCCTCCACGAAGCTGCCTCGGACCTCTCGGAGGGCGCGGACATGTACCACGTCTCCAGGGAGCTCAGCCGCCTCAAGCCAGACCTCGAGGGCGACAACTGGGCGTTGGACGTGGTGGTCGTCACGGGCGCCCAGTGGACTCGTGAGCGCTTGCGCGCGGCAGGCTACCGCATTGATGGCCTCTGCCCCCGCTGTTCCAAAGCCCCCGAGGATTTGTACCACCGAGCGTGGGCCTGTGAGGCCAATGTTGGCCATGAAGATTTCGAGAAGAGCCAGGTTTTGGCCGAGAAAGCCCGGGTGAACCATGAAAGCTGCCCGAGTTTTTGGCTCCGCGGGGTCCCTGGCCGGGCCGAAACGGTCCCGACCTTCGCGGATAAGCCTCCCATCCGAATTTCGTTTGGCACCCTTGCAGCCATTCCCAGAGACGCCGAAGGTTTTGTGACCTTGTTTGGGGACGGGTCGGGTGGGAGGTTCTCGGACGACCCTCGGCGTCGAAGGGTCGGCTCGGGTCTGATCGGTCTCGCCCCCGAAGGGGCTGTCTGGCGTGCCGTCTGTGGTCTGGGCTGCAGCATCGAGGGCCGAAGACAGACCGTGCCGCGCGCTGAGATAACCGCCTTCGCCGAAGCCCTTGAATCCAGCGATGGCGACGTCCGTTTCGTTACTGACCATCGCCCCCTCCTGGACTCCTGGACCAAAGGCTGTGGGTCTGAGCCGCCGAGCAGCGGGGTGAATATAGACCTTTGGGCCAGGATCCAGGCCGCCAAGCGTGATCGTGGGCCTGGCCGAATAGAAATTGTATGGGTCCCCTCCCACCAAGAGGAGATAGGAGGACTCTCGCGTACGCAGTTGTTTTACGCCTTCGGGAATGAATGCGCAGACGCCTTGGCCAGCGAAGCTGCCGAGCTTAGCTGGACTGAATTCGTGATTTCGCCCCCCCCCCAGACCGATGTTCGGGACTCCGAGGCCGCCCTGGTCCGTCGGAGGGCGCGGAGAGCCCTGGCAGCGAGCATCCAAGCCGATCCCTGGACCTGCGAGCGCCCTGGAATCGAGGGGGGGGCCCCGTTACCTAAGCTTGCCTGTGCCCTGCGTGACTCAGAGCATTCGTGGTCCCGTGCAGGGACGAAGTATATATGTAGGCGTTGCAATTTGTTCTCGAATCAGGATTCGATTTTCCAAATGTGTGCCTCCCGTTGCAGGCCCGAGCAGACGCCCGACTTCTCCCCCGTTCGTGCTGGCTTTCGGGTGTCGGGTAGAGAGCTCCATGGGTCGCACACTCTGCAGAAATGGGCTAAATATAATTTGGTTTTCTGCACGACTTGCGGCAAGTCGTGCACCACCGACCCGAGATGGTTGGTCTTGCGTTGTAATCCAACGGCCAAGGGCCGTCAGAATCTGGCGGCCATCAGGTCGGGGCGGTATCCGCACCCGTCGGGACCGCCAAGAGCGGTGAGAGAGGCGGAGTCACAAGGACTTGTTGGCCTCGGTGCAAGGGGGGGTGGAACGACCCTGACGACGTCGACGAGTGGTCGCGTTCCACCCCCCGAGGGAGTGGCTCAAGTTGCCACTTCCGAGGGTTAAAACTGAGGCCTCAGTTTTAACCCTCAAGCGGGCCAGGTCACCGAATGCCATGGCGCCGTTTGTGGACGTACGCTGTCCTTTCATCTGATCGCTCCTGATCGCTCCTCCTCCTCTGCCTCCTCCGCCTCCTCCTCCTCCTCTTCCTGCTCCTCCACCTCCTCCTCCTCCTCCTCCTCCTCCTCCTCGCTCTCTTTTTTGCGTTGAGCTGATTTCAAGATCTGGGCTTGCAGCGCTCCTGTGAGAGATGTGCGGCAATTTGCGCAACGCGTGCACCCATATGAGGCAGACTGGCAACAAATTAAGCCGCTGACAGGTGCGGATGACAAAGATGTAAAGAGGCTGCAGTGAAAGATGAGTTGCCCAGAAAGGCGTAGAGTAATCTTGCACGCGGATGTGAAGGCGAGGGAGACAGCCAAAACCAAATACATACAATGACCGTACATCTCAGGAGGACCTGGAAAAAGTAGGAGACGATCGATTATGCAGGCGGCAGCGTAAGTATAACACAGGCTGTGTTGTCTCAATCAGGTTTTCCAGGCTGTGCTGCCTGGCCAGGTCGACCTGTCGAAGCGGCGACGGTACTGGATTGCTTGCCCTCCAGCCCGAATAGCTCTCCCGCCCCTGCTCCCAGCACCAGCCGTGTCCCACAGGCCCGCACACGCTGTTCATTTCTAACTCTTCGAGAGTTCTTTGATTCTTTTGGGGGGCAAAATCCTTTCATTTCTAATTGTTCCATCATGGGCCTCTTCCTGGCCACTGGGGGGCCAGGAAGAAATAGAAACGAGCAGAATTAGCACGATTAGAAATGAACTATCTCTCCCACCCCTGCTCCCACCACCAGCCGTATCCCACAGGCCCGTACCCGGATCGTTGAGCAGTCTGTGCGCGAAGTAAACGTAATTGGGTTGGTGCGTGGTTGGGCTGGGTATGGGGTAGGATGGTCTGGTTGCATGGTAGCAGTTGAAAGCACGCGCTACTTGCAGTGATGCGGGGAGTAGTGAAGGAGGTGATACTGATCGATGAAGTGACGGGCTAAACAGAAGTGGAGCAGGGATAGGTCAGTAATGCTGCATGTAGCCCACAGTGGGAACCGAGGTCCCCGGCATGCGGGCCAAAATGGCCGCTGGTGCACAAATACATTCCCAGCCTCCCATCCAACTCACAAACATCTCCCGTCCACAACCATGTAGTTGGTAGTGCTGGTTTTTTCCTAGATACTACTCTCCATGCGTTCCCTGGTGAACTGCTCTGCGTGTCGTACTGCTGCTTATGTTTGTCTCTTCTGGTTGTAGTCCTGTGTTTGTCGATGTGCTTCGTGCTGTTGTCGTTTGTTCGGGTAGTTCCCGTAGTTTTTGGCGTGGGGTGCATGTGGTGTTTCTTGCCGTGCTGCACCTTCCGTGGAGGAGGCGTGCTGTTGTCTTGTTAGATGTAGTTGGCGAGTGGTTGTTTTTGTGCAGTTGTTTGGAGGTTGCGTAGTTGCTGCTGTCTGTGCCCGAATGGGATTGTGATGTCCTGCCTGTTGTGCATGGCTGAGTGTTACTTTCTGTGTGCGTTGCTCAGATGTGTCCGTTGTCGGTGTTCTTTCCGTAGTATGGTTTGGCTGTTATATTGGACGTCGTGGAAGTTGTTGCAGGGGTGGTCGCGAGCTTCTTGTAGTTGATGAACGGCATCCCCAGGTGATCACAAGTAGGCAGGTGTGTTGTCATGCGTAAAATCGTTTTTGGGATCTCTACGTTGGTCCGAAGGTCTGTTGTCGTCTTGTAGTTGTCGCTGATACGGTCGTGTGTTGTCGGTAGGTGGTCTCTGAGCCGCTGTAGAATATGGTAGTCCTTGGCAGTGTATCCTGCGCTCGTGTATCTGGGCTGATGGTGTGTTTTCTGCCATTGACCAAATATGTGTCTAGATTAGTGTATGCCTTGATGCGTTGTATGTGTTTTGTATCGTGGGCTTGTCTGGCCTTCTTGAGTGTAGCTTCTGTGATTGTTGTGCATGCTGTGTGGTCGTGCTTGAGGCGTCATGTGTATTCCATCATTTCTGCCATGGGCCTCTGGTCGACTGGTTGTCTTCTAAGGATGGCGATCTTATATCGTAGCTGCCCTGCGTCTTGTCCAGCATTCCCTATTACTGCGATCTGTGATGCCGGCTTCCTCCCCTACCTAGATGGGTGTCTGGCTTGGTACATCCTTGATCTGGACGTCGTTGTGGCATGTTTCCGGTATGTCGTTGATGAGGGCTTGGTTCGCATGCGTCGTGTATGCAATGCGTTCGCCTGAAACCCTGAAGATGGGCTGCGGCACGTAGTCCTGTCTGTGCTGAGTTGTCGGTGGTTTGGGTCTTGGTGAGGTTGGCCGGCGTTGTCGTGGTGGGTGTGGTTGTTGTTCCCACCGGTGGTGTGCGTTGTCTTGTGGTTGATGAGTTTCTTTGGAGTGTTGCTGGCTTGGTTGTCTTGGAGTCGGATGGTGTGTAGGTCTGTATAGCACTTGGTATGTCGTCCCAATGGGTTGGCGTTGCTAACAAATTGGCTGCCCTTGCTGATGGTGGTAGGTGGGTCATTTGCCCTTGCCGTAGTTGTACTGTTGTTGATGCTTGGCTTTGCTTTTGCACTTCATTTGACAAAGTGGTCTTGAGCGTAGTCTGCCATTGTATCGTAAGTCGATCGTGATGGTTGTTGTGCGCTGTGGTGTTTGTCGAGTAGGTTGCATGCTGATGCTACTCGTCGTAGTGTGCCCGATGCTGTTCGTCGTTCACGATCTCGTCGATACCACGCTGGATTGTTGGTGGTAGTCGTGGTTGCCGCCGTGTACTGCTTGCAAAACGTCGTGCAGTATGATGTAATCGGTAAGAGGCTGGGCTGTCATATACAGATACATCAGAAACATATTATATAAGAGGTGAAGGATGAAAGGATGATTAGAGTACCGATCTCGTGGCCTGTCAGCGAACTGCTACTTACACGCCTCCATCTCTTGGCGGTTGGCTGTTTCCTCCTCCTCCTCCTCCTCCTCCTCTTTGTCATCCTCCTCTTCGTCATCCTCCTCTTCGTCATCCTTCTCTCCGTCGGCGTAGCGTGACTCTGTGGGCGAGCGAGAAAAACTCTCGGAGGTGAGCGGGGATTTCTCGGGTTGGCGCTGGACCCCCCGGCGGCGCCTCCGGCGCGGCCCCGTGGCGCGCCCTGCGTGCCGAGGCGGGCGGTCTGGCGCCGATCCGAGAGGTCCGCGCGGGCCTCCGAGGGTGTGTGTCTCTGTGCCGTGCTGTCTGCGCGCCCGCTGGAGGAGCCGATGGGCCCAGGGGACGCGGAGAGCCTGGTCACGCGGCGCTCCGAGCGCGTGAGCGTGGTCGACGACCGCCTGCTGCGCGTGGAGGCCGGCGGCACGCGCGTCGCGGCGTTCAGCTTCCACTGCCAGTGCGCTGCGCTGCCCTGGGTGGTGCCGCTGCACGCGCTCGGCGTACAGGACGGCCTGCTGCGGCGCATCTCGGAGCACGGCGACCCCGGCGCGGAGGGGTTCCCGAGGCCCGGGGGCGCCTTCCCGCACCTGGCGGCCCTCCTCCGGCAGCAGCTGTTCTGCATGCCCGAGGCCGCGCTGAAGACCAAGCGCCTGAAGCACGGGTGCGTGGAGGTGCAGGGCGTCATCCCGTTCAACTTGGCCGTCGTGGAGGAGCGGTACCCCAGCGTCCACCGCATCCTCAAGATGATCCGCAGCGCCACGGTGCGCGCCACGAGGGCGCCCCCCACGGCGGAGGCATCCGCGGAGGCGCCGGAGCAGCAGGCGGTGCAGCTGGTCTACGACGAGGGCGAGGTCCGGTGCCGGTTCCTCGCCTGCGGCCGCTACGTTGCCTGGGCAGACCAGGATTAACGGGCGAAGAACGGTCTAAAATAAACTTTTTTGCTGTCGGGGGCGCCTGTCCCTGGGCGGCTGGAAAGTTTATACCCTTACGGGGGCACCGTAGGGGTATAAACTTTCCAGCCGCCCAGGGGCAGGTGTCCCCGACGGCGGAAAGTTTATTTTATACCGTTCTTCGCTCGCTGAGGAATGGCAGCCCATCCTGGAGGCTGGGAGGGTCGCGGTTGTGGAGTCCCCCGTGGAGTGCCCGGGCAGGGAGCTGGCCGTGTGCCTCCGCATCAGGGACGTCCGCCTGAAGCTCACCAACTTCGGCTGCATGGGCCTGAGCAGCGTGCCGCTGCCGGACATGACGTTTCGGCTGGGGGTCACCACGGAGCTCCCGCCAGGCGCGGCGCCGCCCGCCTCTGCGCTCGACGGGGCCGGCTCCTCCTCGGACCCGCTGCACAGGCAGTGCGTGCCTTGTGCTGCGTCGAGGGGCCATGACGAAATTCAAGTTTCATTGGAAGCCGCTTGGACGGGCCAAAAGGTAAGAAGCCTCGAGAAGCCAGGCACCCTTGCGCGGGCAGAAAGGGGCGGCGAATCGAAGACGCCTGCGGCGAACCACCGCCGCCACTTGCCGTCTTCAATGACTGAGTCTTCGCGGCAAGATCCAGCACGTGTTCTCAAAATCGTCTTGGATGATGCTTGAAGTATCGGGTGCGTGGGCAAGCGCCAGAGCGCTTGAGCACCAGCGCACCCAGAGCAGGCCAAGCAGTCAAGCAGTATCAAAGCATGGATGAGGGATAGGGACAGAGACCGGGACAGAGAGGGAGAGAGAGAGAGAGGAAGAACGAGAGAGGGAGAGGGAACAAGAGCGAGCGAGAGAGAGAGAGGTGCTACGCAGAATGGGATGCAAGGTTGAGCAGAGCCGAGAGAATTGGAAGTCGGACAGGGGGGGGCGGAAGGGAGGGGGGAGGGAGATGGGAGAAAGCGAGGCGGGAAGAGAGAGATAGAGAGACACTCAGGCACATAGAAAGACAGACCGAGAGAATTGAACCCGTGGAGACCGAGTCATATCAGAGAGCTGGGAGGCTGGAAGAGCTACCCCTGCGACTTCCTGTTTCATGTTGTGTGTGTGTGAGCTGACGCCGCGCGCCACGGTCAACCACGGGAAAAGAAATGAGGGGATTTCGAGAGAGCATGCCGCGTGAAGAAGGACAGCACGTGACGTGAACCGGAAGGCAATACGCCGAGTGTGCTAGCGTTTATTGGGCAAGGTGCCAGTTTCCCCTCCCCCCCTTGGGCTCTCCCCCCTGCCCCCTGTACGTTTCTCGTCCTCCTCCTCCTCCTCATCATCAGCAGCAGCAGTAGCATCATCATCATCATCATCATCATCATCATCATCATCATCATCATCATCATCATCAGCATCAGCATCATCGTCATCAGCATCATCATCAGCATCCTCACCATCATCAGCAGCATCATCATCATCAGCATCATCAGTATCATCCTCATCATCATCAGCATCAGCATCATGATCATCATCATCATCATGATCATCATCATCATCAGCATCATCATCATCAGCAGCAGCATCAGCATCATCATCATCATCATCATCATCATCATCATCATCATCATCATCAGCAGCATCATCATCATCGTCATCCTTCCCCTTATCGTCAGCTTCCTCCGAATCCCTCCTCCGCCTCCGCAACCCTTCCTCAAAATCTGCTTCTGCCTCCTCCTCCTCCGCCTCCTCCTCCTCCTCCTCCTCCTCCTCCTCCTCTCCTCCTCCCCCCCTCCTCCTCCTCCCCCTCCTCCTCCTCCTCCTCAGTCCTCCCCCTCCTCCTCCTCCCTCCTCCTCCTCCTCCTCCTCCTCCTCCTCCTCCTCCTCCTCCTCCTCCTCCTCCTCCTCTCCTCCTCCTCCTCCTCCTCCCCTCCTCCTCCTCCTCCTCCTCCTCCTCCTCCTCCTCCCGCCCCTCCTCCTCCTCAGTCCCCCCCCTCCTCCGCCCGCCTCAGGGTCTTGCCACCCCTTGGCCGCTGCAAGCGACGGCCCCATCCACCCGCACCTGCCGGCCAGCGCGCGGCCGCCGCCCTGCGGGGGCCTCCCCGCGAGCAGGGGCGCCTGTCCCGGGGCGGCCGCGAAGCTCGGCAGGGGGGTGTGTAAAGGATCCAGTCGCCCTGAGAAACAACCCTCCTCCTCCCCCTCCTCCTCCTCCCCTCCTCCCCTCCTCCTCCTCCTCCTCCTCCTCCCCTCCTCCTCCTCCTCCTCCTCCCTCCTCCTCTCCTCCTCCTCCTCCTCCTCCTCCTCCTCCTCCTCCTCCCCAGTCCGCCTCAGGGTCTTGCCACCCCCTGGCCGCTGCAAGCGACGGCCCCATCCATCAGCACCTGCTGGCCCGTGCGCGGCCGCCGACCTGCGGGGGCCTCCCCGCGAGCGGGGGCGCCTGTCCCGGGGCGGCCGCGAAGCTCGGCAGGTGGAGTGCATAAACGATCCAGTCGTCCTGGGAAAAAAGCCCCATCAGTGGATGGTTTCGCGATCGGCGGCGCCTGTCCCGGGGCGGCCGCGAAGCTCGGCAGGGGGGTGCATAAACGATCCAGTCGTCCTGGGAAAACAGCCCCATCAGTGGATGGTTTCGCGGTCGGGGGCGCCTGTCCCAGGGCGGCCGCGAAGCGTGGCAGGGGGTGCATAAACGATCCAGTCGTCCTGAGAAAAAAGCCCCATCAGTGGATGGCTTCGCGATCGGGGGCGCCTGTCCCAGGGCGGCCGCGAAGCTTGGCAGGGGGGTGCATAAACGACCCAGTCGTCCTGAGAAAAAAAACAATCCGCGGATGGTCTTCGCTGAGGAGGAGATCGACCGGGAGCCCCGGGAGCCCAGAACCCACCGAACTCGGCCCGGAGCCAATAACCGGGAACCCGGGAGCCCGGGAGAGCCCAGCCTGCTACCAAGATCGGCGGGGAGTTTTCGCCAAACCTGCGAGCTTCCGCCAGGACCCCGTCAGTGCAGGCACTGCTTGGGGCATGTTCGACCGCTCGCCCGCCAGATTCCCTCCCCGCTTCCCGTGGAGGCGCGCACGCGGACCCTCCTGCGGCGCCCTCCTGGTGCCGGGGGCGGAGAAGAGGGGGGTGACGACCAGGGGGGGGGGGGATATCCTGGCGGGGGCCATGATATTTCCCAGATCTCACGGCGCCTCTTCTTATCTCATCACGTCCCTGGCCCCCCCGCTGGGCCGCGCACGTGCCGCCGGTCATGCTTTGCCCCCCCCCTCTTGGACACGCCCCTCTCGGCCGCTCCCGAACAAAGTTTGGAAGAGGGCTCGAGAGCTCCAGGGACCCTGGTCTCTCGCAAGCAAGCGGGCCTGTCCCTCTACAGGGGGGAGCCGTCGAAAATAGTCCAACAGATATGACGGGGACTAGTTTTTCGATCATGCGCGGATGTGCTTTGGGCACCGCCCGACGGGCGCGGGCCCCGCGCCCTCGAGGCTGCGGCGCCCTCTGCCGAGAGGGCGGTGAGCGCCCCGGGCGCCCTCGACGAGCTGCCCTCGAGGGCGGTGAGCGCCCCGGGCGCCCTCGACGAGCTCGAGGGCGCCCTCGACGAGCTCGAGCTGCCCTCGAGGGCGGTGAGCTGCCCTCGAGGGCGCTGCGGCGCCCTCTGCCGAGAGGGCGGTGCGCGCCCCGGGCGCCCTCGACGGGCTGCCCCGCCAGCAGCCGTGCGGGCGCACACCGCGCGGGAGGCCGGCGCCCCGCCGCCGCGGCGCCGCAGGGCGGGCCCCTCCGCGGGTGGGCCCGCCACGGCGGCGGTGGCGGTGCTCCCTCGCGCGCCGGGCCTGCGCTCCCGGGGCAGATCGGGAGAAAAAACACACAGACACAATGAATTGCCGACTCCCCAGAAGGTATGGAAAAGTATGGGGAGTGGGGTGGAAGACAAGAACCAAGAAAAGATTGAACAATACGGGGAATCCTGCGATTTGTGTCTATTTATTTGCGTGTCCCAGGGCCCCTTCAGCAGAGCGGCCGCCGGCGGCGCGGGGGGGGGCCGCTCGGCCCGCGGTGTGTGCGGCAGCGGCGTCGCTCGCCTGCATTCGTGCGCGCTCGCACCCCGGCCATTGGTCCGCGGTCACCGCCGCGTCGACGAGCGCGCAGCTGCCGAGGAGCAGCGGTGACCTGCCTGGCCCCGAGTCCGCGGCCCGGCTCCAGAGCCCGAGCGCAGCGTGCTCCACTTTTTGACGCGAGAACGGGCGCAGCGCGCAGCCGCGGACGCCCGGAACCGCGGCGCCTAGTCCGGCACCTTGGGGAGCTTCGCGATTCGCTGCGCCGCCAAGCGCGCAAACGCCGCTGGGCAGCCCCCCGTAGCGGCAGAGAGGGTGCGGCAACGGTACTGCCGCCCCCCCCTGGCGAGGCTGCGGGCGGACGCTTCGGCCGTGTGCGGCGCGAGCCGCCGCCGCCGCCTTCAGTGTTGGCCTCGGCCTCCGCTGCTGGTGCCTCCTCCTCCTCCTCCTCCTCCTCCTCCTCCTCCTCCTCCTCCTCACCACCACCACCACCACCACCACCACCACCACCACCACCACCAGCATTATCATTCACATTATCACCATCATTAGCAGCATCATCATCATCATCACCATCATCAGCACCATCATCAGCATAATCAACATCAGCACCATAATCGTCGTCATCATCGTCAGCATCATCATCATCATCATCATCATCATCATCAGCAGCAGCAGCAGATTCATCATCAGCATCGGCATCATCACCATCATCAGCATCAGCATCAGCAGCCGCATCATTAGCATCATCAAATCATCAAATCATCATCATCATCATCAGCAGCAGCATCATCATCATCCTCATCCTCATCCTCGTCATCATCCGCATCATCACTATCATCGTCATCAAAACCATATCACCCGATCATCATATCACCATCATCAGCATCAGCATCGGCACCGTCATCGTCGTCGTAATCGTCGTACTCATCATCATCGTCACGATTAGCATTATCATCATCAACAGCAACAGCGTCGGCATCACCAGCACCATCATTATCATCGTCATCACTATCACAAGCATCGTCATCATCAGCAATAGAATCACCATCCTCGTAATCATCATGCCAAGATGGATCATCGTCATCTCCGTATTCACCATCAGCATCACCACCACCGACATGTTGCTGGATGCGACGCTTCCGGACGCTGCTCCCGTGGGTGCGCGCAGACTGTCTTCAGTAGCCTCCCACTTGTTTCATGATGCCGCCAAATTTCGGATGCTGTGCTCTGGCGACTGCCTTGCCATCCTCATCGTCATCATTATCATCAGCATCATCATCATCATCATCGTCTTCACCATCATCAGCATCATCATCACCAGTCGAATCCTCTGAGTCTTACGAGTATGGTTTGACATATGATTGATGCTGCCATGCGTTCCGCATCTTCCTCCTCCTCCTCTTCCTCCTCCTCAGTCTCTTCCTCCTTCTTCTCCTCATCCTCTTCCTCCCCCTCCTGATCCTCCTCCCCGTTCACCTCCCCACCCACCTCACCGCCGTCATTCAACTTCTCCCTCTCACCCTTCCACTCCTCCATCACCATTATGACTCCCGCTTCCGTCCCTCCCTCGCTCCCCCTTCCCCCTCCCTCCCGCTCTCAGGCGCGCCTGCACCGGCTGATGGTGAAGCGAGCGAGGAGGAGGGGCCGCTTGGGGTCTGTGCAGTTCGCTGTATGTTTCCTCAGCGTGCAGTTCAGCAGGTTCATATCAACCCGTCTCTCAATTTTGCTGCTGGTCATGATTCATTTCTGATAGCTGTATTATTATCCGTATTATTATTCGTTTCCTGTTTCTTATGGTTGGTATGATTCTTCATCTTGTTAGAACGATTCGTCTTCGTATGCTTACACTTCTTGTTATCATTCGTATTATCATTATTACTACTACTACTACTACTACTACTACTACTACTACTACTACTACTACTACTACTACTACTACTACTACTACTACTACTACTAGTATTATTATTAGTAGTATTATTGATATTATTATTATTAATATTATTATTATTATTATTATTAGTAGTAGTAGTATTATTATTAATAGTAGTAGTACCATTATTCTTCTTGCTCCTAGGAAGTCCCTGGACTGCCTGCGGGCCTGCAGAGGTCCCCACGAACCTCCGCGGGTTTCCCAGCACCAGATTGGATGAGGGTGGGGCGCTCTAGGCCCTCAACGGGTTTGAAATGGAAGCGCTCTCTTCCCGTCTCCCCTTCCTTCCTCTGTTCGTTCCTTCTTCTCCCTCCTCCACCTCCCTCCTTCCGTCATTGCCGCTGTTCTTAAGAAGGCCCGCATCCGTGGCATCTTAAGAGAGCACAGAAGCAGAGAAGCAGAACTCCTGCTCCAGAGCAGAGACGCAGAAAAGCAACGAAAAAATCTGGGAGAGTACAGACAGCGAGGCGAGTGCTTGCGTGGTATTGTTTGTTGTTTTTTTGTGCTGCTTTGTAAGATTTCTTGGAGTCGCGGGAAAAGGAACTTGCAAAGGTTCACTTTCCCGCTTGCGTCTGAACTGAAGAGGGAGCTTGGAAATATTCACTCTTCAGGCGTGGGAGGTGGAACTTGCAAAGGTTCACTTTCCCTCATGTATTCGGTCTGGAGAGGGAGTTTGAAAAGGTTCACTTTCCAGCCGCGGGAAAGGGAACTTGCAAAGGTTCACTTTCCCGCTTGCGTCTGAACAAAAGAGGGAGCTTGAAAATGTTCACCCCTCAGGCGTGGGAAATGGAACTTGAAAAGGTTCACGTCCCCCCCTGTATTCGGCCTGGAGAGGGAACTTGAAAAGGTTCATGTTCCAAACGTGGGAAAGAAAATTTGAAAAGGTTCACTTGCCCGCTTGCGTCTGAACTGAAGAGGGAACTTGAAAAGGTTCACTCCTCAGGCGCGGGAAATGGCGCTTGAATAGGTTCACTTTCCCCCTTGTATCCGGCCTGGAGAGGGAACTTGAAAAGGTTCACTCTCCAGGTGTGGGAAGGAGAACGTGAAAAAGTTAAGTTTCCCCTCGCGTCCCCTGCTGTCTTCCCTCGTGTTCCCTGCTGTCCCCTTGTGTCCCCCTCGTGTCCCCTGTGATCCCCTCGTGTGCCTTGCAGCCCCTCATGTTCAGGTGTGTTACTCTGACGGCGACGTTGATGCTGATGCTGATGGTGGTGCGTATGATGATGCCGACGTCGCCGACGACGGCGATTCTCTTGATCAGAATGCTGGTGAGCATGAACATGCTGATAGTGGGAGGCAGAGAAGGAGGAGGAGAAGGAGGAGGAGGAGAAGGATGATGAGGGATGAACATGAGGACGAGGAGGAGGAGGTGGAGGAGGAGGAGGGCTTCAAGGGGGGGCAGTGGTATCCGTACCACCAGGGCGCCTCGGAGTTGCCTACTGCGGTGGAGGGTTATCCAGCTGCCTGGGACAAGTTCCGACTCCAAGCATCTCAGTCGACAGCTGTCGATGTCCAATGCGTCCGAAAATGCTAGAAACGATCAATCGAATGACTTGATTCAGAGCGCTCTGGGGCTCCGTAGTGCCCGACCGGCCCAATTTGTTTAATGGCACGCGTCTTTCGCGCCGACCCTTCTCTCTCGCGGCTGCCATGGCGAGGGAGAACGTGATCCTCCCCAAGACCCTCCGCAAGACTCTCGGGGACGCCGTTGGGGACGAGAGCATCACTTTCGGCGAGGCCCTCGCGCGCACCGACGGCGTGAAGCCCCACTTCCACGCTGGCCTCCCACACGGCCACGTAGGGCAAGAGGGGCTGTCGAAGGTCGCGGATCTTTCTGATGCGCCCATGAACGCCCACGCAGGTACGAAGATATCGTACTTCGGGGACCTGCTGATAGACCAGGCTGGCGAGGAGATCCAGGGCTCTGACGGGAAAGCGGTCAGTGTCCTCACTGACTGGAAGGACCCCCAAGGGCAAACGTGCCGTTTGGACGCGGTCAAGGGCCTTGCCACGAAGTCCGATTTCAGTGGCCTCCCTCCACCGTTCAACCTCAAGAGCCAATCTGGTGGGCCGTACGTCATGCAGATTTTCGTCGCGGACGCTCGCAAGGGCAAAGCGCAAATTTTCAAGGACGTTGACCTGAAGGGTCAGTTCCTGAAGATGGCCAACTGCGAGCCAATGTGTCATGGCACGGGCGTCGTGCATCAGCAAGGGGACCAGTGGGCGGCAGGCCGCAATGCGATCTGTCATCTCCTGGGAACCTGTGATCTGTTATACAGCAAGATGTCAAAGACTGACCTCTTCAAACTCGCCAGAGGCGCGCGCGCGCTACGGCAGGTACACGGACGACCCGACTTCTCCGAACAACTACCCGTCCGACTTCAGAGAGAAGGCGGGGTGGAGCGGGCTCTCGTGAAGGCCGCGCGCGTGCAGGACAAGAACGGGAACGTCCGCATGGTCAAGCTCAAGCACGGCACGGAGGCGGCGGACGGCAGCTGGGTCGAGGTCAAGACGGCGCCCCCGTCCACGATCAAGAGCTCCGACCACGACCGCATCGCTGAGTACGTCCACGCGCGGGCGCGGCGCGCCAGGCGGCATGGAGCCGACCTCTTCGCTGCCATGCGCTCGAGGTAGGTGAGAGCTAGTGAGGGGCCCGACGTCGGGGGCCGCGGGGCGCTCGGGGTTTGGGGGGCATGCAGGGCGCGAGACCATGCTCAGTCGCTATACTGAGAACGCGCTGCCACGGGGCGGGCGCCCTTTCGCGAAAAGATCACGCTGATCTCCAGAGCGGGCCAGGAAGGAGGAGGAGGAGGAGGGGGAGGAGGAGGAGGAGGGATGGGATGGGGAGCTGAGAAGAGGGAGAGAATGGACGAACGAAGCGGAGTTGAAAAGAGAGCGTCTCCGTTTGAAGCCTTCTAGGGGCCTAGAGCGCCCCGCCCCCATCCAGTCTGGCGCCGGCTTCCCTGGGCAAAAAGGGCCCGCGTGCACAGACAGGCTGGTTCGGTGTCTGAGCGCACACCTCCGCGCAGGCAGCCCGCCGCGCGACCCCGCGGCGCGCGCCCTCGACGTCGCGGCCCCAGCCGAGGCCCCGAGAGACCGCGGGGATTTCCAGAACCATTCGCGTCGCGGAAGAAGTCGCAATGGACGGCGCTCTGCCACGCCCTGCTTCTGGAGGCCCCCCCGAGCCCCGGGGCGGTCAAACTAACCGACTCACGATGAGAAGCCGGCCCATTGCAAGGAGTCGAAACATTTTGAGGAAAACAAGGAATATACCTACATATGTATATATATATATGTATGCATAATTTATATCTATATATATAATGTTGGGGCTGGGTTTCGACATGAAGCTTCCAGAAGCCCAAGCTCAGTTTGAAACGCTGGAGACATTCCAGATTTCAAAAAACGCCCCCTCTCTCTCTGCCCGTCGCGGCCGCCGAGCCACCCCAAGGCGCCGGCGGTGGCCCGACCTGGCGAAGGGCAAAGAAGAGCAGGAGGAAGAGGATGAGGAGGACCCACCCAAGATGCATCAACGATGTCGCAATACATCGCCCTTCAAAGCTCCCTCTTCATAGGACCCTGCAACAAATCATCCAGCTGCCCGCGGCAAGTCCCGCCGCCGCGCCAGCGCAGCATTCTCGGATGCACTTGCGCGAGGGAGACTGAAGGCCCTGACATGTGATACCTCGAGCGGCGGGAGATGCCCGCGCTGCGGCGACGGTTGGAGCAAGCCCAGAAAGCCGCCACATGTGACACATTGTTGGGATTGGAACTGTCTGGGCCTGTCACAAGGGGTTATTCAGAATTTACTGAAGTTGAATATTTCAAAGAGAGGTACAAGGGTCTCTGCGGCGACCGCTCAGGCGATCGCTCAAGGCGATGCGATACGATCCGAGGGCCGACTTCCTCACCATGCGGGCGGGGGCCGGCCGTCGGGGGGAGGTGGTGGGTGATTTGCACGCCCCGTCGTGCATGGGGCGCTTGGTGCGAGTTGGACCCAGCCCCCTCGCTCTGGTCGCTCAGCTCAAGCATCGAGGAGGATAGTTCGATGACGGCGATAAGGACGCGCTCAAGGCGACGCTCAAGCACTGCACTGAGCACTCGGACGCTCGGACGGCGTTGGTCAGGCTCCACGGAAAATCCGACGTGAACTTGGATGCGAAGTTTGACGAGATCGACGCGACGGGCGCCAATGCCAGCGTTGACGCGTGGGTAGACGCGAAGCTCGATGAGATCGACGCGAAGGACGCCGCGAAGCTCGGCATGGAGTATTCGAACGGCGCCGAGGCCAGCGTCGACTGGAATACCGACGCGCCGTTGGAGGCGAAGCCCGACGAGATCGACGAGAAGCACGCCGCTAAGTTTGGCAAGGAGTACTCGAACGGCGTCGCTGTCAGCCCCGACGGGAAGTTCGACGAGCAGTTAGACACTTAGTTCGGCGAGATCGACGCGAAGGACGCTGTGAAGTTCGGCATTCAGTGCTCCGGCGGCGTCGAGGTCAGCCTCGGCGGGAAGTCCGACGCGCAGTCGGACGCGAAGCTCGACGGGATCGACGCGACATGGACAGCCCCGAAGCGAAGTTGGACGGGAGGTTCGACGTCAAATGGGGCACTATGTTCGACGAGATCGACGCGACGGGCGTCGAGGTCAGTTTCGGCGTGGAAGCGTCCGCTAAGTTCGACGGGATCGACGCTGAGCTCGACGTCGCA